TTCTTCTATTTTTGAAAAAAGTTTAATCCAAGTCACTCCTACCATACATCTATCTTCTGTTCTCCATGTTCTCAATTTTTCTGTTAATCTGTTATCCTTGAGTCGTCTTACCCAGGATTTGAGTTGTAGTGTGACGTTTTTTCCTAATCATTATCTTTTTCAAGACCTTATCACGAGGAGAACGATTGGCAGTTGTAGTGCAGAAAATGATCTCTACTTCCTAGATCTACTGGACATACTTGTTTATTCTTCCACCACGTCTTCTACTACCCCCGTTGATTTATAACTGTGGCATCGACATCTTGGGCATATTTCCTTTTATTTACTTAAGCATTTATTTCCATCTGGTTTCGCAAATCATCATGTGTCTGACTTTCTTTGTGAGTCTTGTCAACTTGAAAAACAACACAGAGCTTCTTTTGCTCCCAATTTGAATAAAAGTTTAGTTCCTTTTTCATTAATACATTCTGATGTTTAGAGTCCTTCTCGTGTTATGTTTGTAAAAAGTCATCGATGGTTTATTACATTTATTGATAATTTTTCTCGTATTACTTGGGTGTATCTCATGAAAGATAAGAGTGAAATTTTCTCTGTGTTTCACAATTTTCATAAGATGATTTGTACTCAGTTTGGGGCCACTGTCAAACTATTTCGTTTTGATAATGGCGGGGAATACATAGATTCTGGGTTAGGACAATATTTCTCTTCTCATGGCATTATCCATCAGACATCTTACACCAATACCCCTCAACAAAATGGGGTGGCGGAACGCAAGAATCGGCATCTTCTTGACATGGCTCGGTATATGTGTTTTTCTATGAATGTGCCTCGGCCCTATTGGGGCGACGCTGTTCTCACCGCTGCCCATCTTATTAATCGTCTCCCTACCCAGGTCTTGCAAAAACAAGCTCCTCTCCACGTCCTCCTAGGTTCTCAGTCTTTGTTTTCTATTCCTCCCAAAATTTGTAGTTGTCTGTTTTGTTCATAATCACTCTCCTTCTCGTGGTAAGTTGGACCCTCGCTCTCTCAAGTGTGTTTTCCTTGGTTACTCTCCTACTCAAAAAGGGTATAAATGTTACCACCCTTCTTCTCGTAAGTGGTTTATGTCCATGGATGTTACTTTCTTTGAGTCCTAGACCTATTTCTTATCCTCTCCGGTGTCACCGTCCTCATTTCCGGGAGAGCCTTGGTGTGAAGTGAGTCATGTGCTTCCTATGGTGGACCCAATTGTTCTTGCACCACCCTCTTCTATTCTGCTTCCTATGGTGGAACCAGTTGTTCTTGCACCACCCTCTTCTACTGGGACTATAGAACCCAATGTCACCAAGGATAAGGACGGGCATGTTTATGTCTGGGACATAGACAGACAACAAGTTAACTGGATACAAGGGACCACTTCTGCTCCTCCACTGCCATCTCCTGCTTCTGATGAGAGTCTAGGTAACTTTGAATCTCTTGAGTCCATTGATCTTGATGTTCCTATTGCCAAGAGGAATGGTGTGAGATCTTGTACTCAACATCCTATCTCACAATTTGTCCTACTCTCATTTGTCATCCTCATATAGAGCGTTTGTGTCCAATATTTCCTCTGTTAGCATTCATAACCATTTTCAGGATGCTCTTGCTACCTCTGAGTGGAAACTAGTCATGATTGAGGAAATGAAAGCACTTAGGAAGAATGGCACTTGGGAATTGACTGAGTTACCTACGGGCAAACGACCTATGAGATGTAAATGGGTATATACTGTGAAACACAAAGCAAATGGGTCTATTGAGCGTTACAGGGCAAGACTTGTGACAAAAGGATTTACTCAGACATATGGCATTAATTATCAAGAGACCTTCGCACCCGTGGCTAAGATAAATTCAATCAGAGTACTTCTCTCTCTAGCAGCTAATCTAGATTGGCCGCTTTATCAGTTTGATGTCAAGAATGCCTTTCTCCATAGTGACCTCGAAGAAAAGGTATATATGGACATTCCTCCTGGTTTTGAGGATCATCAGACAGAAGGCAAAGTATGCCAGCTTTGGAAGTCATTATATGGTCTCAAACAGTCTCCAATGGCTTGGTTTAAGAGATTCACTCAGGCTATGTTTAAATATGACTTCAAACAGAGTCAGGCAGATCACACATTGTTTGTGAAACATTCCTCACGTGGTAAGACTACATCACTTATTGTTTATGTAGATGACATAGTTCTTACAGACAATGATAGTAGGAAAATATCTCTGTTGAAGAAATATTTAGCTAATGAGTTTGAAATCAAAAACTTGGGAAGCCTGAAGTATTTTCTGGGAATTGAAGTTGCTCGCTCTAAGGATGGGATATTTATCTCACAGAGAAAATATATGCTTGACCTATTAAAGGAAACTGGGATGCTTGGTTGCAAGGCATGTGCCACTTCACTAAAACCCAATCAAAAATTGGGGGATGATGAAGGAAGAGAAGCTGTTGATAGGAGGAGCTATCAGCGATTAGTGGGTAAGCTCATTTACCTATCTCACTCCCGTTTTGATATTGCTGTTGCTGTCAGTGTGGTTAGTCAGTTTATGCATGCTCCTCATCAGATTCACTTTGATGCTGTCATGAGAATCTTGAGGTACTTGAAGTCTGCTCCTGGTAAGGGTCTTTATTTTTCAAAGTATGATCATCTTCGTGTAGAAGCCTATACAGATGCTAACTGGACTGGATCAGTAACTGATAGGAGATTGACTTCAGGGTATTGCACATTTGTTGGAGGCAACCTAGTTACTTGGAGGAGTAAGAAACAGAATGTGGTTGCCAGGTCAAGTGCAGAAGTTGAGTTTAGATCTGTAGCACAACGTGTGTGTGAACTTTTATGGATCAAGTTATTGTTGAATGATCTAGGTATTGATCAAACGGACTTTATGCGGTTATACTATGATAATAAGGCCGCCATCAACATCGCTCACAATCCAGTTCAACATGACAAGACAAAACATGTTGAGATTGATCGCCACTTCATTAAAGAGACACTACAGGAAAAACGGGTTATAACGGCGTTCATACAACGACGTTTTAAAAAAATGCCACGTTTTACTCCACATAATAGATCCCTCCGTGTTTCAGTGGTTCACTTAAAAAAAAAAACAAACAAACAAACAAACAAATGGGTCACCGTTAGAACTCTCATACTCCGTTATCTCTCCTCATACTCAGATCACACTCTGTCACACATCACTATTCTCTCTCACGATCGAACTTTCGAGGTCTTCGTTGTTCGCTATTCTTCATCAATCACTATTTTTCATCAATTGCTTTATATCTCGTCGATCTCACTTAGATCTCACTCTCTTCGCTGTTCTTCATCAATCGCGTAGATCTCTGGATGTACTCCTCTGCTAGGCGATTGACGATTGTTGCCCATAAAGTACATCTCTGGAGTACTCCTATGGGAAAAAATAGTTGTTCTTCATCAATCGCGTCGATCTCGAGGCTAATTGAACTCCAACTCGATCTCTCTCGCTATTAGCTCCCATCTTGAGTTTGCAAATCGCAAATCCAAAATCGATATCATGTAAGTGTTCGAGTTTGAATCTCTACTTTCTCATTGTCAAATTAGATCTGTTAATCGGTGTTTGGTCTTCTATTATTATACATAAAGTTGTATGATTGTAGTTGATTGTAGTTTATAAATTTTTTAGCTCTTTCTTGAGATCATGAGCTTAAAATGGGTTGAATCATGATAATGATTAATTTTTCTTCTTTAATTCTTTTGATCTGTTCTTCCAAATGTGTTGCTACACATCGGTCCACCATTTATTTATATTTACTTTCATACAAATTCAACCAATCCAAAACTCAAGCCCTGGTCTATACAATGTGCTTCTGTGACATCAGTGTGGCAATCTTGTTTTAGTGAATGATATTTTAGTTGTTGATAAAGTTGCTTGCTTATTTTGTTGCTTCCTCACGGCTGTTCCAGCGCTTGTTTTGTTGTTCTTTGAAAACTGCAGATTTGCATGTTTTGCAATTTATTTTCTGATTGTTGCCCTTGTGGATGGAATAAGTTAAATGAAAAATAGAGGGGTCTTAAGTGAGATGCTCATCTTCTCCAGCTAGTGTCAAATGATTGCTTTATTTCCAAGTGATGACCATGTGGATGAACATGGTTAGTAGGGACATGAAACGATTTTCTAATTTAGATTGTCTGCAAAAGTTGTTCTGCTTTTTTGTGAAGTGCTTTGTTAAAGTTGTGATGATAAGCTATTCCATTTACCATCAAATGATAACATAGAACTGAAAATTTTGTTTTACTACTTGCTATAGAACGAAAATCATTGCATGAGCAATTAACCTGAGTTGGTCCACGCATGGTTTTCTATGAGAATTACACACTTTGGTAGGCAATTTCTCATACTGCTTCCTTCTCTTAATAGAAAAAGAGAGACCACACATTTGTGATATCATGGTTGTTGTTCCTGTCTTGCAATTCCCCATTCTATTTTGTATCTGGTTTGCATGTATCCATTTACCTTTGTTTCTTGCTTGGTGTTTGTATTTATGAGTAGATCATTTGATCAGCCATCAGCCAATGCATTGGTGGGCCATAGCTGTGCATGTATCATTTTATGCATCTCATTATCCTTTTATTCCTTTGTGCTATTATTGCCTTCATGTATGTCGTTTGTCTGGTATGTGGTGTATGCCTATAATTGCTGCAATATCTTCTAATCTTTTCTTCTTCTCTTAAATGTAAAATTTCCAGCAGTGATCAAAAGTTAAGTGTGCTTGTCATTTTGTGTCTTTTTTTTTGTCCTTATGTACTTATTTAGTCCCAATATGTTTACCAAACCAAGAAATTTCTCTAACATTCATTTTTAGTTTGATATTTCATCAAAGGTTAAAATATATATATATATATATATATTAATTATAACGGAGTGAAATGATTTCAAAAACAAATTATAAATTTTAAAGTTTAATACGTTTGTAGTAGATTAAACAGTATGCATTGATACGAATTAATCTGATCGGATGGTGAATCGGCTATAATATTATTCACCAGTGTAACTAGGTCAGCGAGGTGATTAGTGGTGGTGGTTATGGAGACAAGATGTACTTGTAAAGTCTGATATCTGAAATGTTTACCACACAAAGAATGATTAGAAAAGGAATGTTCTCGCATAATTGATTATTTGGACTACATATAATATAGGAGGTTGTAGTAGTTTCGTGGTGTTCCATTTAAATTGATATTGTAGTTTAGTTTTCTAACAATGTTATTATTTACTGGGAGATGGAAATGGGATGAGGGATCTAGCGGGATGTCTAAAGTTCTGTCAGAAGATAGGGGAGTAATGTTATTGTTTTACCAAAAACTTCTGATTTTGGCTACCTGCTATTTTTATTTACTTGTTTCTGCTACAGGTATCTATTCTGTTGCCCCTATGCCCACAACGTGGCTTCAAAAGGGAAATACATTGCTTTTGTTACCACAGAAGCAGAGACTGACAACCCTGAGGTGGAATTGAAGCCTGGCATAGACCTACTTGGACCTGTAGACGAGATATTCTTTGAAAGTTATGACAGATTTGTACTCCAAGTTGAGCTTTGGTTGATTAAAGTTGTTACGGGTTCAGTTTCTAGTTTACATCTCTTGCTTGCCCCTCTACAGATTTGTACTCCAAGTTGAGCCTTGGTTGATTAAACTAAGAAGTTTTTTTAGTTTGAGTGAATTCATTTATGGATTGCTTGTCTTGTTCTTGTGCTGTAAATTTTCCCGCACAGTGAATTTTTTTGTTGCTGTTCAGCATGTTCTAATGATTTTTTTTATCCCAAATTTATTCTTTTTTTGTGTTGTGAAACAAGTAGGAAACTGGAAATACTGACATCGAAGGCGTTGACTCAACCAATGCTTGCTATGGTGGAACTGTAGCTTTATTCAACTGTGTCAATTGGGTGGAGAGTAGTTCATGGGATGGACGCTATGGACTTGTGGTCTGAACAGACAGTGCGGTATGATTATTTCCTTTGGATCTTTAATGTCTCTCTTGATTGTGACCAGTGAATTGGAACTTATTTTTTCCAATCCCAACATCCCAATCAATCAAATAATTAACAGCTGCTATTGCTATGCTTATAGGGCCTGATGCTCCCATAGCATTTGAAAGCAAATTCAGGGGAAGCCATATGTCGCATGCCTATGATTTTTACAAGCCCAACCATGCAAGTGAATATCCGGTAATTCTCCCTGAACTTCCGTCAATTTTCATGAAAACTCAGTATTTTGTGCATTATTTCACAATAATGAAAGGTAGTTTTCAATTGATGATTCTGACTATTTTGTGTTTCACTCTCCATACAACAAGGTAGTTTATCTAATACTGTTAATATGTGCAATTAATTTCTCTTTCTGGTTTACCATTCGAAGCTTTCAGAGCACTTGAAAGAATAACAGAGGTTTAAACTTTTTAGTTTAATCACTACAGCTTGTTCAAAAGAGCTTTGCCTGGTTGTGGTTCAATGACTTCTTGAGGAATGTCGTGATTCGATGACTTCTTGAGGAATGTCGTGATCTAGAGGTCTGTTTTGGCTCCTAGTCCTAACATGCATTTCCAATCTCTCTCCTACATTCTTTCTTTTACCTTACCTAGACTGTAACCTGCAATACACAGATTGCTTTCACCATGTCTCTCTTACAACTAATTGGTGCTAGAGAGGGTTTTAGCTTTAGTTTTAAGATTATGTGAGGTCGACCTATCAGTGTCTTTGATGATCTTGGGTCCAGAGCTCTTCCAACTTTCCTCAATTCCACCATGAATGCTATTGAGGTACTACTACTTTCCTCATCTATTTCTCACACTCATTTTTGATTGTTTTTTTTTTCCCCCCATATGAATTCAGTCAGATTCACACTATGTTCGACTTCAAGATGCAATTCAAATTACTCTTAAAGCAGAGAGTTTTGTTCTTAGTTTACAATTTCACTGAAATTATCACTAAAAGCACATGTAAAATTCAAATATCTGCTGTGTGGATTGAAAACTATGCAGAAAATTTGCTTATTTTCTCTTAAAAAACTTTCTGTGAGTGTAGTGTATCATCTTAAATTTAATAATGTGATATCTGAAGATTGTTCTCTTTATGTTGAATTGTAATGTGAGTAGGGAATCATTGGAATGGTTGGGCTTTCTTGATCTAAGAAAAGGGTTATCAAGATACTTCACGATGTACTTTGATGTTCAAGAATATAGCCGTAGCAGAATGAATTAATCATACCTGGGTGATTAAATTTGGGCTTCTGCAATTTCTTGACCGCAGATAATTTAGGATCATCATCTTTCCTTTCAGAATGATTTATGTGATTTTGAGCTGCTGATCGGATGGTGAATCGGCTATAATATTATTCACCAGTGTAACTGGGTCAGCGAGGTGATTAGTGGTGGTGGTTATGGAGACAAGATGTACTTGTAAAGTCTGATATCTGAAATGTTTACCAAACAAAGAATGATTAGAAAAGGAATGTTCTCACATAATTGATTATTTGGACTGCATATAATATAGGAGGTTGTAGTAGTTTCGTGGTGTTCCATTTAAATTGATATTGTAGTTTAGTTTTCTAACAACGTTATTATTTACTGGGAGATGGAAATGGGATGAGGGATCTAGCGGGATGTCTAAAGTTCTGTCAGAAGATGGGGGAGTAATGTTATTGTTTTTGACGATTGTTGCCCTTTTGGCTACCTGCTATTTTTATTTACTTGTTTCTGCTACAGGTATCTATTCTGTTGCCCCTATGCCCACAACGTGGCTTCAAAAGGGAAATACATTGCTTTTGCTTTTGTTGTCAATTAATTTCTCTTTCTGGTTTACCATTCGAAGCTTTCAGAGCACTTGAAAGAATAACAGAGGTTTAAACTTTTTAGTTTAATCACTACAGCTTGTTCAAAAGAGCTTTGCCTGGTTGTGGTTCAAATTTCATGGAGGAAGAGTTAAGCTACACTCTATACTGGCAACCCTTTCTGAATTTGAACATGCTGAGAAGGGTGATGCTTTGTATGGTAAGTAGCCTCTTTTACATGCTTTGCAGAGTATATTTGTGCATTGTTCATGTTAAGAATTGTAGAACACCTAAACACCTAATCAAGATAGGTGAGATATGAAAAAATAGAGAAGAATAATAAAACAGGAGTATAAATCACACCCACTCACAAAAACATAAGATTAATGTGATTCACCTCAAAATTAAGACTATGTCCAGAGTCTGCATATACACAGTATCAGAACTACATGTCACAGATGTAGAAATACCAAAACATCCTTACTCCAGAATTCGGGTAAGGGCTAAGGCCCTGAGCCCCCACCTTCAGGCAAGGGGGTTCTGACCCCTTGCAGCCTCACCAACTTATTGTGAAGGTTTTTTTTTTTTTTTTTTTGAACAAGGAAAGTGAACTTATTGTGAAGTTTGATCCACAGTTGAGTGCTAGTGTCTAGTACTCGGGATCTACACTAGCCAACAATCAACTCTCATTCTCTGGGATTTATTGATTCAGCAATGGAACTAGCACTGTCCTTGGAGAAGTTGACAAATGAGAAACTTCTGAGCTTGCATGGTGTAAGATATCCTTTACCTTCAGTATCTTTTTTTCTTACTTTGAATTCATTCTCTAAAATGGCCAAGTATTAGCAGTATTTGACAAAACATTTGGTCCATTTAACTCATTTTACGCATTATGAGGTTGAACCGTGTCTAAAATGGAAGTTTGGGACTTGAGACTAGGACTACTCATACTTGCTCTGTTCTTGACAACAGGTGGCTGCTCAAAACAATGATCCTCAAATGACTGAGTTTATTGAGCGTGAATTTCTAGCTGAGCAGGTGATCTGAGAACCTCATTTTTACGTGTACCAGTTAATACACATGAATGTTTCTTTTTTTTCATCCCTAAACAAACAAAACTTTGGAAGAAAACACTGTGAGTAAAGAAGAAATAATTTTCTATGAGTTTTCTAATATTGTCGACTTCTTTCTTATTTTTTTCCTTCGTTAGGTGGAAGCAATTAAGAAAATTGCAGACTTTGTCACTCAGTTGAGACTGGTTGGAAAAGGACATGGTATGAATCAAGTTTCAATGTCACTCATCGCTAAGCTTGATTTGGTGACACAAACAAAATCCAAATTTGTTTTGGAGAACAGCAAGGTTCATGTATTAAATTATGATTTCTATAACTTGAGTGGATGTACATAGATACTAAGGGTAGAGGTTTTTTTTTTTTTTTTACTGTTTATTTTTTAACTGACCTTCAAGTGTTTTGAATTGCTTGAAGAGTTAGTGTTGCTGTTCAGAGAGAACTTCAAACTCGAGTCTGATCGCTCTTGCATACATCTGGAGTTCGATATATTGTTTACTTTTATTTTTGGTTGTGTTTGTTGTTTGATTTTGGTTTAGAAATAATCATATAATGTTTTTAGTCAATATATTGAAATAGCAGTAAAGTTTTATCCATATTATTACTAATTTTCAGCTTTATTACAATTATGTTTTTTAGTTAAATCCAACAGAATTAGCACAATCTCAAAAAAAAAAAAAAAAAAAAGCTATTAACGGCGTTTTTCCAAAATGCCACTACAGTGTTAACGGTCATACTCTTAAATTAGGAAAAAATCTATCACGGCGTTTTTAAAACGTTGCTAAATACTAATGATGTCATTTTACCATTATGTATCACATTTAAACGCCGCCTATACTAATCTAACGACGTTTTCAAAACGTCATAATGCTATAGCGACGGCCGCATCTTCGACGTTTGATACTAAACGTCGCAAAAAGTATTAGAGGCGTTTTTCACACTTATAGCGGCGTTTAAAAAACTCACTAGTGGTACCATTTGTACTACTAGTAAATGTAAAATTTATAGCGACGTTTGATACTAAATGTAAAATTTCCAGCAGTGAGAAACTCACTAGTGGTACCATTTGTACTCCTTTTGTCCAGTCTGGTGAACAACTTGCTGACATTCTCACCAAGAGGGTTGGAAATAAACCATTTCATGACATATTAGGCAAGCTGGACATGAGAGATATCTTCATACCAGCTTGAGGGGGAGTGTTAGCATATTATATTATTATCTGAGCTTTTGTGGTTTGTAATTAGCCTATGCCCTCAGGGCTCGACTTGTAATTGTCTCATATTGTAAACCCTAATCTTCATTTATAAATAGGGGATGATATTCTATCAAACTCTAAGTTGGTTACTCAAGCTTCACATTGGTCCCTCTCGAGGTGTTTGAGATGTTCCCGGGCCTTCTCGTGATTGTTACACGATTTTAGCCACCGATAACACATTTTCAAGCTTAAGTGTGAGAAAAATATATTTTTCAACTTAGTTTTCGCACCGGAAGGCCCGTGCTAGTTCCGTAAGTTTCTAAAAATTACATTGATCCCTCTCAAGGTGTTTGAGGTGTTCCCCGAGCCTTCTCGTGGCTGTTACACGATTTTGGCCCTCGATGGCCTATTTTCAAACTTAAATGTGAGAAAAATACATTTTCCGACTTAGTTTTCAAACCAGGAGTCTCATTCTAGTTCTGTTAGTTTCCGAAACTTACATTGGTCCCTCCCGAGATGTTTTAGGTGTTCCTTGGGCCTTCTCGTGACTGTTACACGATTTTGGCCCCCGATGGCCTATTTTCAAGCTTAAGTATGAGAAAAGTGCATTTTTGGACTTAGTTTTCAAATCAGGAGTCCCATGCTAGTTTCGTAAGCTTACACAAGTTACAATGGTCGCTTTCGAGGTGTTCGAGGTGTTCCTTGAGCCTTCTCGAGGCTATTACACGATTTTGGTCCCCGATAGCCTATTTTCAAGCTTAAGTGTGAGAAAAATGCATTTTTCGACTTAATTTTCAAACCGAGAGTCCCGTGCTAGTTCCATAAGTTTTCACAACTTACATTGATCCCTTCCAAGGTGTTTTAGGTGTTCCCCAAGCCTTCTCATGACTGTTACACAATTTTAGCTCCCGATGGCCAATTTTTAAGCTTAAGTGTGAAAAAAAATGCATTTTTAGACTTAATTTTCAAACTGGGAATCCCGTGCTAGTTCCATAAGTTTTTACAACTTACATTGGTCTCTCCCGAGATGTTTGAGGTGTTCCCCAGGCCTTCTCGTGACTGTTACACGATTTTGACCATCGATGGCCTATTTTCAAACTTAAGTGTAAGAAAAATACATTTTTGGATTTAGTTTTCAAATTGGGAGTTCCGTTTTAGTTCCGTAAGTTTCCGCAACTTACATTGGTTCCTCCCAAAGTGTTTTAGGTGTTCCCCGGGCTGTCTCCTGGATGTTACACAATTTTGGCCCTGTATGGCCTATTTTCAAGCTTAAGTGTGAAAAAAATGTATTTTTCGACTTAATTTTCAAGTCGGGAGTCTTATTCTAATTCTGTAAGTTTCTGCAACTTACATTGGTCCCTCCTGAGGTGTTTGAGGTGTTCTCTGGGCCTTCTTGTGACTGCTACACAATTTTGGCTCCCGATGACCTATTTTCAAGCTTAAGTGTGAGAAAAATGCATGTTTGGACTTAGTTTTCAAACAGAGAGTCACGTGCTAGTTCCATCAGTGTACAAAAGTTACAATGGTCGTTTACGAGGTATTTGAGGTGTTCCCTGGGCCTTCTCGTGGCTGTTACACGATTTTGGCTCCCGATGACCTATTTTCAAACTTAAGGCCTCATTTGGGGAGTGGCTATTTTAGCCAAAAAGTCAAAAAGTTACTAAAAGTTATCACATCACCTTTCTACTTTTCTGCACATCTTTTCGTAAAAAGCCAAAAAGTTATTAAAATAGTTTGTTCCCAAACGAGGCCTAAGTGTGAGAAAAGTGCGTTTTCCGACTTAGTTTTCAAACCGAGAGTCTCATGCTAGTCCCGTAAGTTTCAACAACTTACATTGGTCCCTCCTGAGATGTTTCAGGTATTCCCTGGGCCTTCTCATGACTGTTACATGATTTTGGCCTCTGATGACCTATTTTCAAGCTTCAGCGTGAGAAAAATACATTTTTCGACTTAGTTTTCAAACCGAGAGTCCCGTGCTAGTTTCGTAAATATCAACAACTTACATTGGTCCCTCCCAAGGTGTTTGAGAGGTTCCCCAGGCCTTCTCATGACTGTTACACAATTTTGGCCCCCGATGGCCTATTTTCAAGCTTAAGTATGAGAAAAATGTAATTTTCAACTTAGTTTCCAAACCGGGAGTCGTGTGCTAATTCCGTAAGTTACACAAGTTACAATGGTCACTTTTGAGGTGTTTCATTGGCCTTCTCGTGGTTGTTACACGATTTTGGCTCCCGATGGCCTATTTTCAAGTTTAAAAGTGAGAAAAGTGTATTTTTTTACTTAGTTTTCAAATCAGAAGTCTCATGCTAGTTCCGTAAGTTTCAACAGCTTACATTGGTCCCTCCCGAGGTGTTTGAAGTGTTTCCCAGGCCTTCTCGTAATTGTTACACGATTTTGGCCTCCGGTGGCTTATTTTCAAGCTTAAGTGTGAGAAAATTGTATTTTTCGACTTAATTTTCAAGCTTAAGTGTGAGAAAAATGTATTTTTCGACTTAATTTTCAAACTGAGAGTCCCATTCTAGTTCCATAAGTTTCCACAACTTACATTGGTCCCTCCCGAAATGTTTTAGGTGTTCCCCCAGCCGTCTCATGGGTGTTACACGATTTTGGCCACATATGGCCTATTTTCAAGCTCAAGTGTGAGAAAAATGCATTTTTAGATTTAGTTTTCAAATTAGGAGTCCCGTTTTAGTTTCGTAAGTTTCTGCAGCTTACATTGATTCCTCCCGAGGTGTTTTAGGTGTTCCCCGAGCTGTCTCATGGCTGTTACACGATTTTGGCCCCGTATGGCCTATTTTCAAGCTTAAGTGTGAGAAAAATACATTTTTCGACTTAGTTTTCAAACCAGAAGTCTCGTGCTAGTTCCGTAAGTTTCCACTACTTAGATTGGTCCCTCCTGAAGTGTTTGAGGTGTTCCCTAAGTTTTCTTGTGACTGTCACATGATTTTGACCCCATATGGCGTATTTTCAAGCTTAAATGTGAAAAAAGTGCATTTTTCGACTTAGTTTTAAAACCGAGAGTGTCATGCTAGTTTTGTAAGTTTCCACAACTTACATTGGTCCCTCCCGAGATGTTTGAAGTGTTCCACGAGCCTTCTTGTGACTGTTACATGATTTTGGCCCCTAATAGCCTATTTTCAACCTTAAGTGTGAGAAAAATATAATTTTCGACTTAGTTTTCAAACCGGGAGTCTCATGCTAATTCCGTAAGTACATTGGTCCCTCCCGAGATTTTTTGAGGTGTTTCCTGGGTCTTTTCATGACTGTTACACGATTTTAGCCCCCGATAACCTATTTTCAAACTTAAGTATGAGAAAAATGCATTTTTCGACTTAGTTTTCAAAACGAGAGTCTCGTGCTAATTCCGTAAGTATCCACAACTTACATTGATCTCTCCTGAAGTGTTTGAGGTGTTCCCTGGGCCTTCTAGTGGCTGCTACATGATTTTGACCCCCGATGACCTATTTTCAAGCTTAAACGTTGGGAAAGTCTATTTTTTTGACTTAGTTTCATGCCTACGTGTTGAATTAGTGCAAATTTCAAAGTAGTTTTCAAATTAAGAACCACGCGCTTCTTTCGTAAGTTTGCACAACTTATGTTGCTCCGTCTCAAGGTGTTTGTGATGTTTCTCGAATCTTTACATGCACATTTCACTATTTTTCCGTGATCTTTCGCCCCTAAATGTCAAAGTATTTTTTTATTCTACCCTATTTGATTAAGAAATTTTTACTAAATTAACATAGAAACATAATATACTAACAAAGGCTACTATTCCGATAAAATAAATTAGTAGAACGCATCGAGCTGTATAATTGATTTTGATTCACATCGATGTTTTGTCTTCATTTGCATCATATTATTCACATTGACCATGTTTGGTAGAGCTTATTTCCAGCTTATTTTAGCTTTTAGCTTAATTTAAGCTATTTTGATGTGTTTGGTTCAGCTTAATAATACAGCTTATAGCTTTTTGTAAATCAAAAATCAACTTATTCTTTGAGTGGAGGAGGAGAAGCTTAATTTATAAATCAAAAATCAACTTATGTTCACAGTTATAAGCTATAGCTGTTAGGCTATAAGTTATAAGTCAAAAATCTGAGACTTTTGACTAAACATTTTAGATTCAGTTTAGGAATTCAGGGAATGTATTTTAGACGGAAGATGATGAAATAAGATCTGACCTAAAGCATGGTATGAGCTCAGATTCCAATTGTATCTACATACAATTAAAAAGCATAAAAAATTGTTCTTTTGTTATACAATTAATCTGCAACAAGGGAAAGAAATTGACAGATGCAAGCACTTCACAGAACAATATTTAAAAAAGAAAAGAAAAAAGAGATGAAGAATGTAAATCCAATTATTTGTAGAATCCCTCAGCAAAAGTGCACTTAAATGGCCCACATAGAAAATTCACAGATATGTGCGAAATATTAGGGATTTTGTACAGCACCATGCCATATTTATTCCATTAAGTCTCAGAATATTTTGAAATGCATGTAATGACCATAGCATAGAAAAACTTCCACCTACATGCAACTCTATGGCACATCAGTCTTTATCACTGACCCCTATCTTTCCGTTGTATGGAAACACCTTGAATTGCATTAAAAAAATCTGGTGTAAATATATAAACACCGCAATTTATTCGATCACTTACCTGCAACGCGTACAATATCAGACAAAACGGAAAGAAGACATTAGAAATATACCAACGGTGTCATGATTAAGCAATGTCAAAAGACAAAAAGTAGTTGAATCTGTGATCTTGTACATACAAAAGTTTCAGGTTTCTCGGTGTAATGCAACAGTTCATTGGTAACTGGATCAGCCACCAGTTCCCCAAACTGGTTAGCTGACTCTGCAGAAACCTTGATTACCAAGATTGTTTCTATCCCACCAATTGGAACTACTGGATTGTCCTGTATAGCCATGCAAAAGAGTGTAGGTCAAAATTTAGTGACCTGACAAAAGACAGAAAATTCAACAGTTCAAAATGTCCAGCAAATTAAAGGTTATTTTTTTCCAAATTAATAAGCAAAAACTATATAACAGAGCATTTTTTAATATTGTTTCCCAATATATAATCACCGCACTACTTTCTTTAGAAGTTCCAACATACACTGTATCAAAATAAATGTTTATTCAGGAATCAAAGCAGCAATGCATTAGATTAGACAAACTAGTGAAAGTCCGAAATTTAGCACATTCAAACTTTACCAACAGTCATTGAACTTAGACAGAACATTCAAGTACTAAGTTGCAGGTGCACATTATCATCTACCAAGTAATGCAGACATGGACACTGAGAGCCAACAAAACACAGATACACTAACGCAACATGAACACGCCAATATGACATTTTAAAAGAATGGAAACAGTCTAGGTGGGGATGTGGTGTGCATGTCTTGTTCTGAACCTGTACTATGAGCACAGTTCAAGCAGCTTGATCAACCATCCAAACATAATGGTTTGGCAGTCAAACTTTCATAAGAGTGTTCAAGGCAATCCAGCATCACCCATAAAATATTAAGAAGCTTCAAAAGGTTTTTGAAGGGAAATTTCACTGCATTTAGAAACCACAACGGAAGTAAAGCTTCCCTCAAGTGGTCAGACTGTTGCTTATAGATTTAAACAAGATGTAATGGTGTAGAAATCAAATCAGAAGTCATCCCTGTCCTTTGATGGTTAAACCAGTGTATCAGGAACCAATAGCAAAATAGGATATTTCCCTAAAGGCACCAATGGGCAGAATCCAGGAGCTTAAGCAGCATCTGGTAAAATTGTAAAATCAAAGCAAGTTTCTCCATCTCATGTTCCATGGCTGGCAACAGAGAGAGAGGAAATAATAATTTAAAGTATTTCAAGATGAAAAAAAGTGTTTAAAAAGGGAGGTAGAAGAAGAGTAGAAAGAGAAAGTGAGACGAACAAAAGAAAGGATTGACGAAAATCAGAGAGGTAAAGAAGAAAGTGGGAGAGAGGTCTAAAGCGTAAAATACAATTATATTCCTAAAACCTGAGAACTTTACAGTGTTTAAAGTTTAGCAATACTTTTGCAGAAAACGAATCTTAACAAGACTAAAGACTAAGTTCATCAAATGCCACATCATCCTCTCATGGGCCTAGCATCAAATAAGCCTTGACACTTCCGTAATTGTGGTAGGACGCATCAGGTATGGACATCATCTTAAGTACTTAAAACATGCACTTCTGTATAAATAACAACAAATTTGAATTACCAGGATGCTGAATAAGGAAAGCATAATGTAAGGGTCTGAGCAATAAATGCCAATGCTCATCAGTTATTGCCAAATGGAAAAAAAAAATACGCACACTGTAAACACTGTAAATATCTACCTCATTGTCAAAGATATCAGAATTCAGAACACACTTACAACTGTATATAATCATATCATATGATAATCATAGATTATAGGTTGCATTTAATCTTAGGTTATAAATGATAGTACTTTCATGAATTGACATTGGAATGGGAGATGAGTACTAATAACTGATTTGTTTTTATAAGATCACAGTTCTTGCATATAGTTCAAAATACTATATGATGCACATGGCAAATGTATATCCCAAACCTCTATCAAAGTGAATAAACGGAAAACCCTGAATTTAAATATAAAAGAAGTTCATAAATATAAGCATGTATACATTTATATATATATACATAGAGAGAGAGAGAGAGAGAGAAAGAGCACAAGTGTGAGATGGAATTAAACCAGCTGCATAATGGACTTCCATGTATGCATGATAATCTGACGGGTACACTTCAATAAGCATTGCCGTTCAATGTAGTACTGAAGCATTACCTTCCTAACAAAGAGAAAGTAAGAACAGAATGTCTTAGGCATATTAAAGGTTTCACATATAATTGATGTTCCAAAACAGGATACTTTTGACAATCACAAGTCAACTAAATATACCTTCATGAGATTTATCTGTTTCTTCTTCTACCTGAAAGAATGTAGAAAACCCATGAAGATTGGGTTTGGTTGTGATGAATGAATACAAACAAGGAGATGGGGGTAGAATTGAGGAAAATGATTCTAGAAGTTTTATGGGTTAGTTGACAGTGCAGGGTTTTGAAATGACATGATCATTGTTATGATGATTCTCCCTCTGCATTGTCCAAACCTCCCAATTCAACCTTTGCATTGCCTCCAGATCACACCACCCACCTCACCATCTTTATTAAGAACCCCAACAAAGAAAGTTGCAATTATAAGTGGTTTGTTCCAATCTTTTGAAAGTAATGCAATGAATACAAAATCAATTTGTTATTCATTGTCAGTGACACAACAAAGATCAAATCGGAAGATAGGGGACTTGTCCCCATGACTGACATCAAGACATTGAGAGTTGGTGTTTGGGAATGGCAATGAAGGCAGGCAAATAGTGGTGGTGGAGTTCACCAAGAAGATCAAGGAGGCCTACAACTATTGTTTGGGTTACGATAGATGCTCCATTAGATTTACTATGGTGATGTGGCACAATGGGATTACTTTTATGCATCAGTAACATGTTTTTAGTTGAATTGCAGTAAGACCATAAGGGAATGGAAGATATTGTGCATTTTCATCGACTTCAATAAGGCTAAAATCACTGTGATGAACTATTAACATATTGACATTTCTTCTGTTATGGACCTTGTGGTTATTGACAGTCAGTTAGCAAAGGGGAGGGCTCTGCTGCATATTGTGAGTAACAGAAAGAGAGTGCCCAATAATGGAGGCCAAAACAATGTGCAGCCTTGGAAAAGGTTACTCTTTTGGGGGGGGGAGCTAATAAAAAAAAAAAAAAAAAAAAAACAAAGCAAAAAAAATCTAGAACAATAAAACTGCGTGTATGAACATGTTGTGATGAGTGCATTAGACTTGGAAACAAAGACTATAGTGAATGAGCGAAAAATTATGGAAAGAAGGAAGGATTATATCTGAATGGGGCCTAACTCACCCTACCTCAGCCAAGGTAACTCATTATTTCAATCTTTGAAGGGTGGGGATAAGTTTGCAATTATCAAAGTTATCATCGAACATTTAGTTAGTTGGTACTTCGCAAATTTTCATTTGCAGAGAATGGTAACAAGAAAATGATAAGAACAACAAATACAACAAAAACAAATATCAGATGAACTTGGCTTGCATGACAACACATGATTGTGATAACAAATATTTTTCTGTCCTACAAAGATTGGCACCCTTGTAGAAAAGTAAGTCCATGAAGATTTCTCATTTTTGCAATAACCCATGGCATGAAATAATAGTGACAAGCATTCAAGCTGTGACGGCATTAATTAGGCCATCTGATATAAAGGTGAAATGAAATAACTAGTCTTATAAGGTAGAAAATTATGGGCCAGAGTGGGTTATACATTGCATTTAATATCAATACAAACCAGAAAAATGATTATTATAACATTATGGATCTAGCAATGATTGTTTATACATCACACGAAAAATAAATCTGAGGTCACTAGTTTTAAATGAGTGGATGCTTATAGTGAATTTGAATGAATTGCCTCTCATTCTGGTGAAACTGATTCTACACCAACCAAATCACAGAGGGAAATTTTACTTATAAAAATGCCCCTCTCTTGTCTCTTCACTTTATTTATTTGTTTTTAAATTGCCTATAATTTTCTGTTAACACCCAGATGCACGTTTCTGTTTTTTTTTTTCTAAACTAAAATATAAAAATCATGGATTTTCAAAAGAAGAAGTACTAAACAAAATATTTAGAAATGCTTTAAAAATGATCACACAGCAACGGACAGAGACATTTCAGGAAATGTTCTTTTATAGAGTACATCAGATCAAAATACAAAATGAGAGCATTGATATACAGATTTTATTCTCAACCTAATTCAATCAAATACCTATAAAACTTACTTCGATTTCGCATCAGTAGTTAAATCACTTCATATAACTTATCGACAGTCGCATTTCGAACAGCAAAATCACATGGATATCAAAGACAGATCGAAGAAAACTAGATTAATAATAAAAAAACATAGATCCAAAAACATACAAGAGAATCGATTTGAGCAAGAGATAAATAGAGAACTATAAGTTTTTTTAGTCGAATCTTCACCTGGTCTCGCACAGCCGCAGCAAACGGAGGAAACCCGACGATCAACAAACGTCTATGCGGGTGTGCGATTGTGAGGGAAGAGAACAATGAATTGTGAGAGAAGGCTGTGCAAGAGTGAAAATCGGGGAGAGTGATGAAGGGGTTCATTACCTATCCTAGAAAAAAAGAGGGAATTTTGAGAGGGAACATTTCACCGCCTCAACAATTTCTACAGGTAGATCACCAAAATACTAAAAACAATTTTTAGTTTTTTTTTTTTTGGAACAAACTAAAACTAATTTGAGAAAAATAAAAATAAAAATATATTTTTAAAATTTTAAAAACTATTTATGATCTCATAAAAGATAAAATTATATAAAAATAATAAGTATTTTTTTATTTTTTTACCTTTTTTTTATTTTTTAGAAAAAAAAAAATCTGAAACAAATTTTTAAAAATAAAACCAAATATATTGAAATTAATAATCTAACAACTTTCTTTGAAAAAGTTTAGATTATCTCAAGTTAGTAATCACTACTTAAGAGTGTGTTTAGGTCTGATGGATTCATTTTGTGATCTAATTCGATAATCACTTTAATTTTACAATACAATAATTAGAATATTTAAAATTCTTTAAAAAGTTATAATAAAAACACGTATCACCAAATCACTAAATCACTTCGTTTCACTAACAAAACTTTTATCGATGAATAGTGTTATCATCGCTAAATGTTTAACTCTTTGTCCACGTCAACTTGTCATCGCCAAAAGTAAGAACATTAATAGCAACGCTCATTGTGTTGCTAAATAATAAGCCTTGTAGCTAAATTTTTTGAATTTTTGGCGCCAACCAATAATTTTGACACTTAGTAAATGTTATACTTTTTTAGCGATGAAAGTAAATTGCATTAGTAAATGTCTACTTTTACCAACGAAATTCATCACTGTGTCGCTAAAAATATACTCTTGTCTATGAAAAATTGACATTGTCGCCAAAAGTAGTCGCCAAAAGTGCAATTTTCTTGTAATGATGTATGAAACCACTAAAATCAAATTCATTTAGGACATCAAATCCACAAAACTTTACAAATCAAACCACTTCAACCAAATCCATTTTTCGAAATCAACACCAAATTAAATTGAAGAAATCATAACAACCCTCGAGCATGATTGAAAAATAGGGAAATAGAGAAAGGAGGATAGAGAGGGAGAGAGAGTGACTGGGGTAGACAAAGCGAAAAACAGACCGCAAGTGAGAGAGAGACAGACCGAGAGTGAGAGAATACCTGTGAGGATGCGGCGGTGGTGATTTGCGAGCGGTGGTGGTGGTGGGGGGTGTAGCGGTGGCGAGCTGCGTTGGTGATGTGCGCTGAGGTGAGGTCATGTAGGATGAGGCCTGGTGGTCAAATCTGCGTGTGAGAAGAAGAACCGATATATCTTAGAGCATCTCCAATGCACTAGGCATATAATACTTGTTAGTTAAAATGCCTAGTGTGATTCACTTTTTTCAATTCCAATGCACTAGGCATATGATTAGGCATTTTGCCTCAACTCATATTCACTAGCTACATGTAGCTAGCCTTCAATGCTAGGCAAAATGTATTCAATCATTAGGATCATTTCCCTCCATCTTTGTTGTTGACGTGGCATTCTATAAAATTAATAGTATTTGGATAAATAGCTAAAATAAAGAGCATGGTTAGAGTAAAAACATAAAACAGTCGATGGGCAAAATAAAATATATACTTTATAGTAATATTTAGATAAGTAAAATGCCTACTACCGTTGGAGATACTCTAAGGCGCCAATATATTCATTTCCCTCTAAAAACCATTAGCAACTAAACCATTTATTTGGTGACAAAATTATTTCCTCACCAAAAAATAAAATTATTGGCCATGAAAATAGTTTTCTCACTAAATGATATTAAAATATTAAAAATTATTGGTGACAAAAATATATTCGTCATTAATAATTTTATTATTGGTGACCAATTTTTTCCTCACCAAAAATCTAAAAATTTTGTCACCATCCGAAAAATTAGCGGGAAAATCTTCGGTGACAAAAAAAATACAAATAATGACGAAAAATAATTTCGTCACCTAATTTTTTTTATTATGTATGTAGATTGGTGACAAAATTTTATTTGTCTCTAAAAATGGTACATTTAGAGACGAAAAATTATTTTTTTCACTAAAAGGTACGTTTTACGTGACAAAATTTATTTCCGTTATTAGTTTTCGTCTCCAAAGACACTTTTTGTTGTAGTGAGAACAACTCTCCCTACGAATGACAGTACTCTTCTTTTCCAACCTGAGAGCTACTTTTTAAAGTTATCAATGACAGGTTTCTAAGAATATTTTCTACTTGGGTTAGCTCCAAGTGGAAGACCAAGGTACATGAATGGCAATTTTTTACTTAAACAATTAAGATTTGATGCAAACTCCAGAATCAGATCATCAACCACACCAACCCCACATACCACACTTTTGTGGAAATTTATCCTAAGCCCAAATACCATTTCAAAGCACCTTAAAATTTTTTTAATGGCAACCACTTCAGACAATTCCGCATTGCACACGATTATTGTGTCATCTGCGTACTAAAGATGAGACACACACAAGGTTTTAAAAAGCGGCCGCAACTGTTACGTAATGTCGTTACGTAACGATTGTGGTGGTTATCACCACCTGTTACGGCTGCTTTTACAGTGTAATTGGGATTCACAGATGTGTCGGCCGTAGCGGCGGTCGTAGCAACTGCCGTAGCGGTTGTAACAGTGTCGTAACAGCCTGTTACGCACCGTAATAGCCGTAATAGCCTGTTACGTACCGTTACATAATGGTTCCGAACTGCTTCTTTCGAAAAACACACAAAAAAAAACTGAAAATGGGAGAAGAGAGATAGAGAGATGAGGGAAGATAAAGAGAGAAGATGGAAGAGTAAGAGAAAAAGAGAGAGAAGAGGGAAGATGAAGAACAAGTTATTGATTTGTTGAAGCTGTAAAACTTATTCTATTCTATTCAGCTACTATCACTCAACCATTTTGCTTGTGTGCGTCTATCTATATACTGTTTGAAAATAATAATAATAATAATAAGTGTGGTTATTACCTATTTGGCTTGATTAAAATATGTATATATATATATAGGCTCTTATTTATTCTCTTACTTTTATCATTGTTTATCTTATATATAATAGTTAGTGATTGATTTTTTTGTATAATATAAAGTCATTAATTGTTAAAATAAAATGTAAAAAACTAAGTTTATAGTGATTTAAAAATATGAAACATATTGAATCACGCTTAAAAATTTACAAAAATTGATCAATATTTATTTTAAACCCAATAAATATGATCATGGAAAAAAAATATGCGTATCGGTAAATTTTTTTCAAATTGTGCGAAAAATAAAAAAATTCACAGTTCTGGTTACCACAACCGTTACGCTAAAGCCTTTACACCCCACAACCGCAACCAGGCCACCGCCACTGTTACGGCAACCGCAACCGCTTTTCAGAATCTTGGACACATAAAACCCACCACTGCCCACTTCTACCCCATTGATAATCCCCAATTCCTTTACTCTCTTCAACAATATATTAAGCCCTTCAACTACAACATTGAACAAAAAAGGTGAAAGTGGATCACTTTGCCTTAACCCTTTACGAGGACAAAACTCTTCAGATGGAGATCCATTCACTAAAATATATACTCTAGGGGAGGTAATGCACTATTTTACCCAACCTAATCATCTTGGTCCAAACCCAAAGTTTGCCAACATTTCAAGAAGGAAATTCCAATTCACCGAATCATAGGCTTTCTCAAAATCAAGTTTAAGGGTTAGTCCCCTCTTTTTAGATTTCTTCCACCAATCTACTACCTCATTTGCAATGAGAACCCCACCCAAAATGTTTCTCCCCCTCAGGAATGCTTATTGGACTTTATCAATTACATTTGGTAATACTTGTTTAAATCTGTTAGCTAGCACTTTAGATAAGATTTTGTACATAGAATTGATCAAACTAGTTGGTCTATACTCCATAATGGATGATGGGATGCCTCTCTTTGGAATAAGAGTGACAAAATAGCAGTTTATACCATAACTCAATCTACTATTTTTATGGAATTCCTTTATGAAATTTATTATATCTTCTTTTATCACCTTCCAACCTTTTTGAAAGCACATCATATTGAAACCATTGGGCCCTGGAGCTTTATTCCCATCGCTCTCTCTAATTGCCTCCCATAGCTCAGCCTCAGTAAAGTCTTTTTCCAAAATTTCGGAGGCTTGAATAGAATTCACCTTTTGAAAATTTCCACCAATGTTGGGCCTTTTTCTCCATTGTTCACCAAATTGTTTCTTGAAATAGTTACACATTGCTTGTTTGACTTCAGTTGGTTCTTCAACAATTACTTCATCAATCTTCATTGAGCTAATCATATTTTTGTTTTGCCTTATAGATGCTATTATATGGAAAAACCTTGTGTTCTTGTCCCCTTTTAATGCCCAATGTAGTCTTGACTTATGTAGCCATAACCATTCCTTTCTTTTTCGAATCTACCAAACCAACCCCAACACCTCCTTTCTTCTTGTGATTTCCATCTCATTAAGGTTTCTGGATTCTGCCTTTAAGTCTAAATTGTGCAGCTCATCTTCAACCTCTTTAAGCTTTGATTTCACATTTCCGAACACCTCACTGTTTCATTTTTTCAGAGCCATTTTCAATGATCTCAACTTACTCATAACAATATACTCTGCGCATCCCCTTACATTTGAACCTTCCCAAGCCTTTTTTAGCTCCTTCATGAACATAGAGCATTTATGAACCTAAAAGGTTTAGGTCTCCAATCTGTCTCATCTTCCTTCAATAAAATTGGGCAATGATTAGATAGAATTCTAGGTAACCCCCACACTTTGAATTTGAACCATTCTAATCATTCTGGGTTAACTAGGAATCTGTCAATTCTACTCCAACTTTGGGAATTGCCCCATGTGTACTATCTCCCAAGTATAGGAATGTCCACCAATTCCAACTCATTAATAAAACTTCCAAACTCAGTCATACTAGTAATGATATTATTATTAACCCTACTCATTAATCACATTAAAATACTAAAAACCTCTTAAATTATGTCATATCATCAATTGGTACACTAGTTAGTATACTAATTGGTGCATATAACATTATTCTTGTACGATAAGTAAGAGTGATACAATATATAATCATATTTC